AATATTCGAAGCACTTCCTCTTTGTTGTGGGCATCACGGTGTCTTGGTGGAGCACCATGATCCCGGCGATTCACCATTAGGCATGCTGTTTCCTCCGCACGTCGGACGCAACTCAAAATAGTGCGATACGACGGATGCCGCTCGCGATTGGGAAATTGTATTTATTGATGATAATTACATGTATTGATTTGCAATTATCGATCGAAATACTTTCCTGCGAGGGCTGCAGGGAAACTTTCCGATTATCAGCGGCGGTATTGATCTGCAATTATCGATCGAAATACTTTCCTGCGAAGGCTGCACGGAGACTTTCCGATTTTCAGCGGCGGCGCAATTTCCCAATTGCGAGCGGCTTCCGTCGTATCGCACTATTTTGAGTTGCGTCCGACGTGCGGAGGAAACAGCATGCCTAATGGTGAATCGCCGGGATCATGGTGCTCCACCAAGACACCGTGATGTCCACAACGAAGAGGAAGTGCTTCGAATATTCGAGAACAATCCTGGAAGCAGTGTACGTCGCGTAGCACACGCACTTGGTATATCGCGAACAACAGTGCATCGTATTATCCGCCAAAATGGTTTGCATCCTTACCATTACCAACGTGTGCAGCAACTTTTGCCGCGAGATGCAGAACAGCGGATCTGCTTCTGTCAAGGTATTCTCCACAGAAATACTCACAGCGCTTTTAGCATATTTCTATTAATATCATTAATATGTTTACCATTAATATAACATATGCAGGGTTACTGGCACAGTATCGGCAGGATGTGACATTTCCTGACCGTATTTTGTGGACGGATGAAGCTACATTTACTCCTAATGGCGTCTTCAACTCTCGCAATTTTTTGCTCTGGCAAGAGGAAAATCCTCACGCCATACGGGAAGGTATTTTCCAATATCGCTGGTCCATTAATGTATGGGCAGGAGTAACAGCGGACCGAGTGGTAAATATTCTTGTAAATTAAGAAATGTTTTCTTCCTCACATTTTCCTCATAATGTGTCCATTTGCGCTTTTCAGATAGACCCATATTTTCTGCCGCCACGTCTTAACGGACAGGCGTATGGACACTTCCTTCGTAACGATTTGCCGATACTTCTGGAGGACGTTCCTCTCCACATGCGGCAAATGCTAGTATTGCAACACGACGGAGCTCCGGCACATTCCGCTCGTCAAATACGGCACATTTTAAATACGCGTTTTCCGGAAAGGTGGATGGGTCGAGGTGGCCCAATCACCTGGCCGGCACGGTCGCCAGATTTGAACGTGCTCGACTATTTTGTTTGGGGCTATGTTAAAGCTTCAGTCGAGCACAGGCGTGATGGTAATGAAGATGAAGTAAGTGAAGCAATTGTTGTGGCCTTTAATTCCATCACGCCGGACATGGCGCACCGTGCGACGCAACAGATAATTCGAAGAGCTGAACTCTGTTTACAAGCAGAAGGAAGCCACATCGAACAGTTATTGCCTTAATACTAGATTTGAGGCTTTTACGGCCATTGATACAATGTCTAGGTATAGCTTCCGGAATGGAGCCGTGTCTTGAATCAGCGATATGCCGACGTTTCGCAAACGTTGCAGTTTGCATCATCAAGGCTGAGAACTCTGATACTGAGCTCCCTTGGGTAAAGGTAGTCCTTATATGCCCCCCTCCCCCCTTTGTGTAGATGGTGTTTCGGGAGTAGGGGACGAGGCTTGAATCCAGCCAATCAGCGTATTTTAATTGATCAGCTGGTCAATTAAAAAAAAACCGGGAGGGCAGTATGCCAAATAGAGTTTACTTGCATACCTTTGTCTCGGTTGAGGTTGTTGGGATGTTTCAAAATTTCTAGACATTCACGATGTTTTCTGACAAAATAACTCTGTGAGGGAGTCAATCTGGTGGCTTTTTCATATTGTACGGAGTGTCCAGTCTCCATCCAGTGTTCAGCTAGGGCTGATTGAGTAAAGTGACCATACTTGGTACATCGCTGGTGTTCCTTGATTAGCGTACTGATCTTCCTCCCGGTTTCTCCTATATAAACTTTACCACAAGAGCAAGGGATCATACAGTTAAGAATCTTAGCGATCAAGACCTATCACCATCCGAAGTTGCTGTTCTAGCTGAGGGACACAATTTTGCTGTCACTTCTTCTAGTATCCTGTGACGTGGCGATTTCGCCGTCACCAAGAGCAGCGGGGAGACGAGGAGAGCTGTGCTCGCGTCCCTTCTTCCGCGGGAAGGGCGGCTGCGAGGAGATTGGTCTCGCACGCTTTTTACGTGCGAGACCGCGTATTGTAATTTTTGCTATTTTTGTTGTTTTAAAATGTGTGCTCGGCGGCGACGAGATAGACGAGGTGCACCGCTCGAAGCAAGGCGACGACGGACCTGTAGAGGACGACAAGCCGCGCGGGGCAGGATCCACCCCTCGCTATCACAAGCGAGGGGGCCCCGACCAGATTGCAGCGGGGCGCCAGGAAGGGCTGACCGTAAGGACCGGATCCCGGGGGACGCCCTGGGATACCTCAAGCTTTTGACAGCCACCTGAGCACCCCCGCTAAATAGAGCTGCCGTCAGAGACAGG